AAATTTCGATGATGCTTTGAAGCATATTGTTTAATTAGGTTTTGTATAAAAAGCTGTATTATACCCCGAGTGTTTCGAACTTTTGTATTATACTTATGCGCGATTGTAATTTTATCTTAAAGCAATTTTGCTATTTTGCTTATTAGATCTTGAAGAATGTATATCTTTTTACCAATGTATATAAACAGAAAATATTATGAATGCTTTTATTTCTGAAGCATTTCAACATTTTCAAATCGAACAAACGTGTCTAGATATTTATATATCATGACTATTATTTCTAAAAAAAATTAGCTATGAAATCAAATAAGAGATAAAATAAGTTATGTTACGTTCTATTAATTTTATATTTTATTTGAATAGCTTAGAGATAGTTATTGAACTATTTGTTATAAAATTATTGCTTTATCTCAGAAGCAACTTTCATGATGCGCGAACATCTAAATATGATGCATCCGGCTCGAAAATGTCTAAATAACCGCAAGTGCAGGCATTTCTGACACTTTCTGCGCATCACTCGAGAAGATGATACATGCGTGAAAAAGAATACGTGGCTTGGGGATAAGCGGGCTTCCACACATGAAGCAGAGCAACAGAAGGTGCGAAGAGGACTCTCTTCTTGTTGTAGATTGTGTTATGTGAATTGTATGGGGTGGAAGAGGAGGGTAGCGGCTCTCATCGTGATTGCTCCGAAAAGAGTCTAACTTTCTAGGTTCGCGCGAATTTCTGCAGAAGCAAGATCACAAGGCTCGCCGGATATGAAGAATGATATAATGGATATGATTATATGATATAATGAATATTATTACGCACACATAATCTAGAAATTTATTATACAACAAATAAGATGTACTAAATATTAATAAAATAAAAATATAATAATTAAATAAATCATTAATAAATCAATATAAATTAAAGTAACACACGTAATAAATTAGAAAAAATGGAACAGAAGAAATCAGATCAGTTATTTCAATTATTTTAAAAATATTACAAAATAAAATAAAATAACGTTCTCGAATATAAAGCTTATCATTAGTATTTCAAAACACTTGAACAAAATTGGTTTTGCATCAAAATAAATGTAATATTTATCGTTTAATCGTAATAATAATAATAATTGAATCATATCGCTATGCGTATGTGTGGAGCAATTTGTCAGCGACAATTATCGTCTAGTTTACAGAATTAATTGAGAGCAGTTTAAGGAATCCTGCAAAATGTTTAATGAAAATCTTTCGTCCCCTTAACTCTTATTAGAAAGGCATAAGAGAGCCGTTAGTCTCAAAGGGTTCTAGGTGATCCAGAAAGTTATCAGGACAGCAACGTTAGTCAGGAGTTTCGCTCACGCGGCGCCGCTAAGCAGGCAATTGGGGTGGGCTCAAAGGGTTAATGTGACAAAGGCTTATATCTCTTGAGGTCAAAAGTCTCTCGTGGTATCCAACCCACGAAAATTTCAAACAATGCAACGATACACAAGTTCCTTAGTTTCCCGATAACCTTTGATCTCCTTTGGCTTTCGTTTGTTTATATTTTAATTCGCGGTGTGTTCAAAAAATATCATCTGATTAATTTTAAATAAATTGTTTTATTTTAAACAATTCATAATTTTAATATATTTCTCATTTTATATATCAGAATAAATTGATTTATAAAAAAGTAGATAATAAACCATAGGATCAATACATTTGTCTTAAAAAAAACTTTGAAAATTTAAAAAGTTTAAAAAGATGTAAATAAATATCAAAAAATATTATTTCCATTGTATTTTATCTGGTTGTATTCTATATATATATATATATTTTTTTTTCATAATGAGACAGATAAAACTCAAATTACACGTATGCAACATGATTTACCAAACTGAATTACAGCATTACACAGTTGAGAATATGTAGTATTTATGCGTGAGCATGAAAATTGTTCGTTACAATTTTGACATTAATTAATTATACTACTTATCGGGTTAAAGGCAGCAGTATTGGCGAGTATTTGTTGAATTTGAAGCACACATGTGCGCATTCGCGTGTTCCGCAATGCGCAAACGACGCTCGCGGGACCGAAAAGCTCGTACACTTATGAAAATGCATCGTGCATTAGTCGACGATAAATTTTCGCGGGTCACGAAAACGAGTGCTACATAGTATATTACGCGCGATGCTGCATCGTAATTAATATCTGTGCGCGAATACGCGAACATACCGTCTGATTATACAGGAAGGTAAATCTAGTTGGCTGACGTAGTTAAATGGGAAAATATGGCAATCAATGAGACTCGGTTTTTCTTATTTTACTGTTGTTAAGGTCTTCTTTCAAATATTGTTTTACGTGTGTTTGTGTAATTACTAAATAAAATAATACAACTTCACCTAACAATACATGAAATCTTTTATGAAAGACTGCAGTGTTGTTGAAAGACTGTTCTTCGAAAAGAATGATAAACATTATATTAATTTACAATTTCATGAGCATACTGGGGTTAAATTATATTAAGTAAATACGCTGAGAGTTTATTATATGTTTCAACGTAAACAATTTGAGGGTAATGTAATTAAGTGAGGCACTTAATTACATTAACATCCACACCGTGGAAACGAAATGCAATTTCTGGTGAACGTGATATATGGACGACATTATAAAATTAATTGTACACGGAAAATAGGAACTCTCCGCTTTGTTATTTGCTAATTAAATACATGACGCTCACCACAGAAATCTTCTTCTTTTTTTTGTGCATATTTCTTTGAAATTAATTTATGTTATCCAAGATCAATCACATTTGTTTGTCACAATGTGTTGACGTTTATTTAAATTTTTTATAGTGTAAAATATGAGATTTAAAATACTGATCGAGAATAAAATTTTCGTCTAAATGATGTGTTATCCTAACAATTCCAGTAATTAAGGCGATTAAAAATTAAGTTTATATATGTTATCATACAAATTTCAAATCATATTATTTGTCATTTTTATTAAATTTGTCTATAAAGAACAGCACTTAAAATAAATTAAACATTTAATGTTTACTTTTAGTATAGATAATATTGGAGTTAACCAATCCAATTTCTAATTTATTGGTTCAACTTCATCTCGGATTCCTTTTAAAAGGAGAATCCCGCGCAGATGTTACAAGTAAACAGAATTGATATAAGCACACATATAAGCTTGTTAGAAAAGCGAAAGCATTTTTTAAAGGTCAAGTTATCAGGACAGCATGTTATGCATGGAAATTTCAAAGGATGCAAGAGTAGAATAGACTTAGCTTGTGTTCGATGAAACATCGATCGCTCAGTTGAGCATCAGGATTTCATCTTGTCAGGGGAATGAAAAATACGTCATTGTCGTGCACGTACAAGGTAGCTCATTAAGAACTTTATAAGTATCGGTATTAATTAATAATTATAAAAGTATCAGATAGTTAGGAAAGCGAAGATGGTAGCAAGGGACTTAAATAAAATTTAAAAAAATGATTAATGTCTCAACCAGCAGTTATCTATTTAATATCACTGATAACCTCATAGCAGAGATATTAATAAATGTAAGAAGTATTGAATTTGAATATCTCTTTAACAATTTTTGCACTTAATCGTATTGTCAAAAATTGTTGAATAAAAATAATATTAAAGGGTATATTATACGCCTCCCTTCGTATAAATTACAGAATCGATAATGCATTCAATTGTGAGTGCAATTGTGAAAGGATAACTTATTGCACGATAAGTCTCAGTTAATAAATAAATCATTCACGACAGAAACATCTTTTCATATAGGAGCGGTCTTTGAATTCATGAGAAAGATGAGACAATAGTCAATATAGGGTCTCGTGAACGACCGATCAAGGCCGTTTCCCATGGTTGGAACGAACGGGTCGATGACCGGCATCATGAAGTTCATAAAAGAGCACATGGGATCCTTCGTTCTCAGTTTCTCGGCAGTTCTCGAACCGTTTGGGTCGTCTCTTATATCGAACACACTTTTACGTACAACTTACGACTTCGTTGAGCTTCAAACGTTACGTCTATTTAAGTGATTCGTCCTGTGATTGACGAATATATTGTGGCAATTCGAAGATTATTACTGTTATTTTTTTATTATTTTTACTATATTTTTAATTTATATATCAAAGTTATAATAAATTTTGGAATAAAGTTCGAAGTGTTTCGTTCGTTTAATTGTGTTGTTTATTAATGTTAAATACGATTCTCTGTTCAATCTTTTTTTCAGTTTTACTGCGATAATCGGATATTCGGTATCGGATACTTGACAGTTTCTTTCTTTTTATTTTTTAGAAAAAGAAATACTCTAACAGAGAAAAAAAGAGAAAAAGAGAAAAGAAGAACGTAAATATTTTTTATATTTGTCTCGTCTATATTTTTTTACTTATTCTTACTAATAATACAGGATATTTCATAATATATGTAAATAAAATTTCATAGATCATTAAGTATAGCGTGAAATAACAGAAAAAATAGTTACAACTATTTATCCTATCTATAATTGTGTTTTGTGTGTATATTTGTATGCCATATCAAATTTTGTACTACTTGTTTTCACATTTAGTTCCTATTTTCATCTCGGATACAAATTTGTGAACATGTTATCATTGATTTTTACCGATAATAATTATTTCAATCAAATTATCGAAATATGAAAATGATTAAGAAAAAATCAATAACTGTGAAAAAGAAAGTTAGATAGGATAGATACTTATGTAAATCTTCTATCTTTCATTATTTTTCGTTATACTGAATACATCTCTGAAATTATAAATATCAGGAAACATCCTATACATGTTTAATATATTTGAAGTATTTTATACATATTACAAACATGTACGGATAAAGCTCAATTTGTATGATAATAAATTCCTGAATAGAAATCTTTTATCGCGCACGCAATATGATATATAAAAGCTCGACGACACAAACGATTGCCGATAGCTTATCACTTATCACAATAGTATTGCTTTTTACAGCATGCATTGTGTAAAAATTACTTACCCAACGGATGATTAGATTGCAGATTGTAGTCATCGACTTGTAATGTACTGTTCGGTCCTGTTCTGGTAAATCTAACTACGTGATATTGGTTGTCGTTAACTTTTACGCCAACCTCGCCGATCGGATGATCATTGGTGCCCATGTTATAAACCGCAAAAACATTACCTTCCACCTGTGTAATAAGAATAAATTATTATGTAATTTTTACACAGTCATGTGAATGCTCGGAATAGAGGATTATATAGAGATTCAACAAAATTGTTAAATTAAAAAGAATGCGCTTGAGTAATATTAAAATATAATTAATAAAAATAAAAAACTAGTAAATGAAAATTTTCGGTTCGTATAAAATTAAATAAAGTAGAAACGTACATAAACAGGCCAACTTAAAAATGAGCAAATAATTTAGGTGTACAAACGTTTTAGTCGAATTAATTTCATGTCTTTCCAATTATTAAAAATCTCGAACAGTATTATTCTTTACGAAATTATGTACTGAGAAAGACTGTCGTTACAGTCGAAACGTATACGTTTTATTTTATTTTATTTTATGTCAATAAATTAATTATTTGTACACCTAAATAATTTGCTCGTTTTTAAGTTGCTCGTTTTTATAAGTTGGCCTGTTTATGTACGTTTCTACTTTATTTAAAATATAATAGTCTAATGATATTTAATAAAATAAAATATCAATTATATATCTGTGTACTAACAATTTCTAATTCGAGATAATCGTCACTCGACGCGGATTCTATCCTAAGCAACACAGCATCATTAACACTAGTGACGAAACCCAAGGCCACGGTATCTCTTTTCATTTCCGGTCGACGATCAGGCGGGAAGGTGTATGTGATAATTCCTTTTCCAGGCCCAAATTCGTAAGCGATAGCCTCTGCAGAAAGAACATTTTAACATTAAGATAGTACCTTTCATCCATTACATTTTAAATTTTATATAACGTTTCTATAATGTTTTTTAATATAACACTATTGCCTTGTTATAAAAATTAAAGTATCTTAGTTTTTATTCCATTAAAACAAATTTTATATGTATAAAATTTTATTAAATTTTATTTATATATGTATAATTGCACTTATATATATATATATATATATATATATAATTTTCTGAAAAAGTATTTACCTCCCAAGGCAAGAAAAATTGATTTTATCCAAGCGATAAACTAGTTTTACAGCGTTGTAATGTTTATCGTATTATGAAATAATTCAATAATAGCATCAGTAACTTTAATAACTGTATAAACGACATTATTATGTTGTAAAATAGATATGAAATATTAACAAAAATAAAAAATAAGCTAGAAATTATTCATTATATTTATATGAAAGTCAAAACCTTTTTTATGTAATTTTCTATAAGTATATAAAATTAAAAATGTAGAAAATATTTTATAAAAATTTAAAATAAATATTCATATATATATTTATATGTATATAACATTATAAAAACTTTTTACTCTTTGAATTTGTAATATTATTAATTATGTAACTAGAATTAATTTGCTTCTCATTAATTTCATAATGCAATGAAATTAATTTTATGCAGTTGAATTTTGAGCCTTGACATTATTTGTGTTATAATTTTATTTAATTTAGAAACAATTCGTTTATCCTTTTATTCTTTCATATTAATGTATACATCAATGTATTTAATATATATTCTGTTTAAATCGAGATAAAATCACAAAGAGCAGTATCATTCTTCAGTAATAAAATTGTCACGAGTTATTGCGAAATCTTAGCTGGTGCTTAATGCGCCTACAGATAAGTGCAATTCTATTAACAATAAAATAAAGCAGTTAGCATAAACTGATAATTGAATATTGTTATAGAAGTTGTCGTCCTTGGACGAATGCGGACGTCTTCAACCACGTTTTTATCATGTATATCTTCTATTTAAAGTCTATTTTTGAGTTCAAATCAAGTCTTCAAGCACTTGATAATAAAAAGATATATACTCTCATTAGATATTCTATCATCACATGAAGAAATCTTAACATAGGAAGATGTATATTTTTATCAGATTCCACCAGCAAAAGAGGAAGATATACTCTCATCAGATTCAACCATCAGAAAGAAATCATTTCAAGTACGAAGAAGAACTTATGGCCGGCAAGATAAGGCCATTAAAACCATTAAAAGAAGAGGAAGAGTACTGTTATAGATCGTTTTAGAAATTTGTTGCTTTTTTTACCATCGTTACAGGTAGGTCCAGTGAAACTCGTCATGTCGCAATCGCACGTGTAACTATTCCACTGCTGCACGCAGGTGCCATGATTCGCACAGAGATCGTGCGTGCATTTCTTGCCTGGGTGCAGATTGGAATAAATGTCGCATCCGGATGTGACGAGCGAACTTGGCACGACAGCATCGGCAATGAGATCGATGCTTTCCCCACTGAGATCCAACGATGCCAGACACCCCTCGAATCCGTGACGGCTGATAATTTGCTTCGGTAATTGAATGTACTGCGTTTTTTCTACTCCGCCTGAAATTTACAAAAAATCATTAATTCTCTTTGACGTGATTCTTTGAATGTCGGAGATCAAAATTACAAATACAGACATCAAATGAAATGATAAAATCGAAATGTAAAGTTATATCGAGATCATCTCTTTTGCAAACTCGTAGCGGATTCTCCCGCAATCTCTGCTGGCTGTTCGACGGACCGAGACGACCGCATGTCCGGTCGATCTCGCCGCCATAAATCCTGCGGGATCGCCGTCGGTCGAAAATTATTTCGACGGCCGTCCGTCCATTGGTCACACATTATACTCTGTATACGTACGTGCAGGGCTTTCGAAACGAGACTGCGCGGCTAATTGATTTCAAATGCAATTCGATGCAATTTCGATGCCTCTGAACCACCATGATGATATATGTATATATATATATATATATATATATATATGAGATATTTTTCCGAACAAAACTGTAAGAATTTTTTATTTTAAACAATTATTTATAAAAACTTGACGAAAAATTGAAAAAAATATAGAAGTATGCTAGTATACATCTATATGCAGAAGATAGAATCGATTATATTTTGAATGTATAACAAAACAAAATATTCGCTTTACAAGATCTTTTATATTATATGTCAGAATATATTGGAATAAAATATATAAAATATCGTAAAGTATTGGCTTTTCTCTCTGAGCTTATTATAATACTTTGTGAAATACAGGTAAAAGAAATCTATATAAACAATAAAAAAGATAATGCGGTTTTATCTGAGAAAATTTCAATGATTTTAAAATCTTGTTACTATATAAACAAATTCTCAAAATAAATTGATAGTATAACTTGAAATACATTTTTATTTGATTGTAAGATTCTTTTTGCAACAATTTCTTTCTGAGACATATTCGTATATTATCTATAAAATTTTCGTTTTTGTTTATTATAAAATTATTAACTTCAAAATGTTACATTTAAATAATAAATATTATATGTCTAAAATCTGAAAGTATTTTAACAAGATGACAACTTTCAAAATTATGATTGGAATTTCAAACTTTGGTTGAACAATTTATGATCTATGATAGATCTCGCAATGCGATTCCGTAACTGCGATTGAAGAATAATTGATAGTTGATTTGCTAATTTATGCCAGTCCGACGGTGACCGATAGATTTATTAATGAATTAAGCAACGAGAATGGTATAATATGGATCTAATTAATGATGATTCATAGCGCGTTATACAGCTTCCGTAACTGAATTACAAATTAGTATTGTTAGTATTGTTAGTATCGTATCGTTAATATCGTTTAAATATACATTCAGATATATATATATGTGTGTGTGTATTGATTTGATTACGCTGAATTGAAAATGTAAATATTTGTGATACAAACGTTGCTTTAAATCGATATAATTTTTTTTTATATGTAAAATCGTAATTCGTCATTTTTATTGAAATCTTACATTCTGAAAATTAGAATCTGCACATTTTTTCTTATATCTCTCAGAAACATAAATGCAGAAATGAATTATGTATCTTTTTACCATGTAGTTGCGACAGTGTCTTTCGTAAGCGCCGCGAATAGTTTTAACAGATAACAAAATAATTCTATAGATGTGTTGATTACAAAGATAAAATAAACCAACACACTCTACATAGATCTACGTCGTTCCTGGATTTACGGAGCTATCCACTTATACACAAACAACATAATAATCAGCTATTATTCGAAGATTCGCGCAGTTTATTCTACTGATGTAGCCTTCGAATTAATTGCGCACTTGTGTCCAAAGCGCAAAAAATTCCATTAACAAATAATCCTTTGTATCACGCAAATTAGTAATGAAGAATTAAACGATTAAAGTCACGCGTTAGCGTGACAAAAGGTACATTGCATTAAAAAAATGACATTTCTTCGAATAACATAGTATTTAGTTAAGTAGCTGATTAATTTCCCTTATCGTCGACAATGCTCAGAAATTCATGGAAATGATTAATTGCGAAAACAAAGTGCTACAAGTAATGCCCAGTAATTTGTGACATAATTGATAATCAAAATATAAAATTAAATATAATTTCAAAAATAAATATGTATACAGTTGGTTAGTAAATATATATCTCATTATATAAAGCACTATAGAGGAAGTAATTAACGAATAAAAACTTTTTTTTTCGTTTACATCATACTTGAAAAAACTCATACGTGTAAGTTAAAAAAAGAAAAGGACAAGGTTGCTATCAATATTCATACCTCTACAATGTACATCAAGGTCAAAATTATCAGAGAGAGATTGGCCAAATGTAAATAATTACCCAGCGAGAAGACTGCCTTTTCAAATATAATATTAAGGCAGTGTAATAAATGTATTTGTAACACTATGATTTTATAAATGTATAAAAAAATGCTTTGCAGTAATTTTTTAAAAAGCAAGATTTTCCATAAGAGGAATCCATCTTACATTTCTTTTATTTAAAATTATCATATATTTTTAATAATGAACCATATCGTAGAAACAAGTCTGCCTGCATTCGAGAAATTAATAAAAATGATGAACGGTGGATTAAATAATATTTGAACGCGCTTTGAAATTATCTCTCGCTCTTATCAGAGTCTCGTCGAATTGTCATTAGATCGCATTAATCATATGAATTTACGGTGAACCATCCGTCGTAACGAATTTAATCTTACATTTGCGGGTGCGCTGCGGTCGAAGGCCGGATGTTAGTTAGTTGTAGTCACGGAACCGATCATTTCGCGCCTCAAACAGTCGTCCATGCACCGTCATCGAAAGCGCGCGAATTATTCATCCAAGCTTGTTGACTCGATAAATTCGAGAGTTACGTGACCGTATGACACTTCGGAAATCAAGCAACGCGCGATAAAATGATACTAATAATAGAGAGATATATATAACAGACAGAAATTTAATAATTACTATTTCCAGTTAAAATTATTAAATTGATATTACGCGTTTTCGTTATAAGAGTTATCCGTCGTTATGTCTCTTCGCGATTTTATCTTGCTAATCTCAATTGTTGGTTTCTCAACCTCATCGTCAATAATTCGACCGCAAAGATTGTTGATCGTACGTCTTTCACCGGAACCAATGACAAGTCTAGCAGATGTACCAGACAGATGGAAAAGAGTGCATCTGAACTTCAAAGCACCGCAACTAGAGGTCCATTTGATGAAGAGTTACGTCTCACCGGACGAGAAGTGGATATTTAGCCATGAATACAAATACTCGGGGAAAGATGAGTACGTATAAATAAATGATAAAATGAAAAATAAGAATCGATATGTAAAAGTGTATGTATGCGTGTGTCCATGATATGTATGTATGTGTGTGTGCGGCTTAGAATTAGTTTGCATACCGCGCGTATGAAAAGTTCGTGATTCTGCGGACTGTGACCTTTCAAGTTTATGATTTGAAGCCCAGCTTGATTGCTGTCGGGGAGTGACATCATGTGAAATATAGAAGGATTAGCATTAGCTTAGTGCCAGGACATTTTGGTCCGGTACGTCGATGAAATGTTAAATTTTGCTGAATATTCTACGAGACCTATTCCAAATTTTCGACAAAAAAATCCGAAATTGAAATCTTAAAGTTCAGAGTGTTATAGTGAATTGGCTTTGCGTGCTCAGAATTCGCGTTATGATGGATACACTTCCTTTTGGTTCTGAATCAGTAATTTGAATTCTACATCTCGAAATCCATATAATGTTTCCGCTTCGTCATTAGAACAGACTTCGCGTTGATTTGCCAATTATACATTTGCACAGAGAATATTCTTTTGCAAATTTCTCGAGAACAAACTTTACATTTCAATGTAGACGCACATGCTTTAATATTTAATGTATCGAGTCTTCTTGAAAACAACTTATCGTATCTGATAAATAAAATGAGTCACGCATATCGAATGAATCATATACGTATAAGGCATTTTCGGGTTAAACACTCATATTTAGATATTATTTTTCATAGTTTTGTGTCTGTCAATGCTTTTAACGTGATACAAAATTAAACGTAACTAAAAATTAATAACGAGTCATGCAATATTAAATTAAATTCATAAAAATGTAGTTTTAAATTTTTCAACAATTTTTTAATAATGCATCTCGTACTCGATCCGGAAATAACTGAACTGGAAGTGAAAGGTTTGATGACGTCAAACATATATACAGACGTTTATTATTACGATAATCTTATACAATATTTACGAATTGATTAGTACTGCGGCGAAAGTGATACCGACGACAGAAGAGAAAGAAGTTCCGCGAATTGAAAATAATAATATGGCTACGAGAGAAAAGGAAAGAGAAAATAATAACGTTCAAGATAATATTATGATGCCTGATGTTATTCCACAAATCGGATCCAGGAATATTATAACAGTGCCCACACACTGTCCGAAAGGAGAAAGAAGGGATAGCAAAGGACGTTGTAAAACTGTCATGTAAGTAGTTCCATTTAACGATACAAATTCAATATTATTTATGATGCACTCTATATTAATAATTATCAAATATGATTTTTTTCATTCATAAAATATAATTATCGATAATATTTTTCTAATGCGTTTCGTAAATATGTAAATATAATAATTGAATATTTTATACTTTTTGTTGTAGAACGTAGAAGAAACAAAAGATAAAAAGAAGAACATTTAAATAATTGGATTATTTTAGTTATCGAGATCAATAGTGAAATATTTGGATCCGTAATGAGAGTGAAAGTTATTCAGTTTTATTAACAAAATGCTATAGATTAAATATGTATGTATTGTTTATATACATATATATTGCATTCATTTTTCTATCCTCTATACTATTAAAAAAAATACAGTGATTCCATTAAAAAAATATTAAAGTGATTTTGTTTTATTTTTCCAACAAAAAGTGTTTGATCAAATTTTATTTGTCACAGTGATAAATTTTTATTTATGACTTTTTTGTCAGAATTATCGTAAGTGCATTAATGAGGCTCTGTATATATACAATATATATATATATACATATATATTCTTCATTCGAATACGTAATTGATGACGCGCACAGTCAGGTAAATCGTATAATTGTACAAGTTTTCTAATTTAATGGAATATACTAAAATGAAAGTATATTCCGATGTACACATGTGTATTTTAGAATTTAGTATACGATAAGTTCAGCTTTCAATCCGTAATATAAATTCAATATATTTGTACGTAGTTGAAAACAAAATAAATATGCAATATAAAAATTCTATTATATATATCGCTATTATTTTGAAATTTATACATTAAATATATTTTATTTCTTGAAATATAGAAAAACATAGCATGTGTAGACATTTTTACGAGAAATAATGAGAAAAAGAAATAATTTAAATGCTTTTAAAAATTAAATTAAAGAAGAAACAAATATTGCATTTGTTAAAGTTTAGGTCTAAACAGATTTGACGACAAATATAATAAATTAAACAAAAATGCTCAATAATTCATTAAATTAATTAAGAATCCAATATATGAATGACGTATTTAACTTATACAATAAACGGATTCCAAATGTAAATTACGACTGACTAATTAAATTAAATTAATATCGAATACACGTTGTTATATTTTATTGTAGTAATATCTCAAATAAAATTGTCAAATGGAATCTTAATTAAATGTGTTATATCATGCGCACATTATAGCGCACATATAGAACAGGTGCTTTAAACAAAGTAAGTACGACGCTCATATTATTATAATGAAAATTGAATATGAATAAAAATAAATTAATAATGTATTTGAAAATAATTTAACAAAATAGTTTCAAATTAGACAAACTTAGCCAATAAAGAGAGATATTTTGCAATATTCATTATTAGATTAATTAATATATTGCTTTTTGGGCAATAGATAAATATATATTTTAACTACAGAGTTCGTTTATATACTCATATACAAGTTTAGATTTAAATGCTTATCTTGGGTATATTTATTTTCTAAATAATGGTAAAATAATGTTAAAATAAATAGTAATCACACACTTTGTTGCAAGTGTGTATAATTTTCTCGACTTACCTATATACAAAATGCCATCAAGATCGAGATTCTCATTGCTGCCCTGGCTGTTAACAGCGGTCACGTGGTCGTCTACAGCGAGAGTATGTCTCTTTGAGGCAGGTCTACCGATGCTGACGGCGTGCCACTTGCCATCGTTTAATTTGGTCTTCGAAGTGTCCCTGACCCTGACCGCTCCGTCGCCAAGGTCAAACACGTAGTGAATGTGTCCGTTAACTAACTCGACTGCAATAAAGTCATGCTCTCTTCCGCCATTAAAAAGGATCAGGCCGTTTCCCTCGCGCGTTTTAAACTGGAAAATAATTTAAGGGTTTAGAAAAAGCAATGTTTTACAGTTTGTGAATGTGAATGACTTAACAATTTTAAACTTTTTTTTATAAGCCTGCAATTGCATTTTTTTTAAGTATTTGTACAATTATACAGATTGAATCTTTTTGTATATCCAGTATATATCCGCGTAAATAAATGTATGCAAATAAGAATCATAAAAAAATATAATGAATACTTTACAAAACATTTCATAAGTATTTTATTTCCACATATTTAAAAACTCTAAATTGAAAAAATATAATAAATAAATACAATAATATGTCATAGCGTTACTGATAATTGTTCCAAAAAAATTGTGAATTAAAAAATCAATGACATGTTAAATTATAAATATCAATCTTTACCTGGAAGTAGATGTTGGTCTCCACGTACGCTTTGAGCACCGGAAGGCCCACAAAAGTGTGTTTAGAAGTGAAGGTCACCGGATGGTGAACCGGATGATTCCTCTTCCCGAATTTGCCAGTGACCCTGATGATGGGCGCAACACCCTGATGAGTGGCCTGATGGCTTCCAGCGCTGCGTGCTATCTCCAAATACGGATATCCATTGAACCAGATCTGCTGCAATTGACCCACAAAATGCGGTATGTCCTCGCCTATTTGAGGATATCCGCCTACGTGGAGGGTGCGAAACTCCAAGATGCTCTGCTTTCCCAGCGGCGGGTCTTCTACATTTTCATTACGAACCATTTATCATTTTTAAGATGGACAAATAAAGATTACGTGTTATACACAAAAAAAATTTTTTTAAATTAGAAAACATTTTGTACAACCAAATCATATTTTGCTACAAATTTGATTTTCTATGGGTCTTCTTGTTAATAAAACGAAATATAATTTCAAGCAAAAGATATTGTAGTATGTTTCGATATTGAAAATGTTATGTCCAACATACTATAATACACAAAATACACTGTATTTTATTTTAATATTTATGTATGCAAATTTTAATACAATTATATTGAAAGTTCGTGAAACATGTTGTCACTTACAATGTGTCTGATTAGATACGGAAAATGAATCGAAAGAAAATGACTATCGATGAAGATTTGTGAAAATATAATATATTTGCAAATTTGACAATTTAAATACTTAAATGAGACTTGAACTATACTGGGTTCAAGACAAAAAGCACATATGCCTTGCTGTGCAGTAATTATCGTTGTCCCAGCGCGATCGATCGCGCCGAAGTAAAGGGCTACTGCAATTTAGGCTATTGCCACCTAACTCAATATTGCCGGCACTCGCCGTCAGTTTAATAGGGTGATTTGGCAGACAGCTTTGAGGGTAGCTGTTTCATGACCATGACGGCTACTGTGGTTGACTATGGAGGTTGTTTTATAGATTGGATCCGGGTTGATTGGTAAGCTCCGAGTTGCGCACGTGAACTGTTTATCGATATTAATAAAATATCCTCAGATAATTCGACTGCGTCAGTGTTTCATCCCGATAGAATTACTGTGTAGAATCACTGCTACATAATAATTATCTTATATTGGCCTATATACGTAAATATAAATATTATATTTACGTATTAAATTATATATAATTTACAATTTACATATTATTATTTCTATAAGCAATGGTTTTAATGATCTATCAATACGATATATAATATCAATATTGAGCTGAAAATATAGATGTAATATCAAAAAGATAATATTGAAATGAAAATGTTGATATATATATATATATATATATATATCTCGCGAAGAGAGCATATTGAGATCTTCGATATTTTCTTTGTAGTGCGTCTATCATTTGTTAAACGAGGATTTGCGCGTGACGGTCTCGAGAGAATTTCTGCAAAAAGTATTTACCTCTGATGGAATCGCGCGTGAGCTATAATTTACTTTGTACTTGAAACGCATCGCTTTTGCGATAGAGTGCCGCGAATGCCGCTGAATGTCGACCCCATCGCCGATTTCGGATGCATTTTCTCGTTGCGCCAGCCGCCGCCGGCGTGAAGAGCATTTCGAGGAGTCGGCATGATAAAAAGCGCATTTGCATGCCCGCGATTTGTAATCCGTCCGTTGGATGTCGGGAAAATTGATGGCACCGACTCGTATCTACCGCTCGTAAATAATACGGTCGGCGGATCGGCGTAAACAGAGAAAAATTGACGGTCTTAGACCCGTGCGAGCTGAGAAAATTCCCCGTGTCGAGAGCAACGTTCGGAAATAACACGTGCTTCTTCAAGTATTGATCATTCGGTTATTCAGAAAGTGGAAATACATAATAGAAAAAACAAACGGTTTTTTTAAATTTTTAAACGCATCCATCTAGCGCATAATTTATTATTCGTGACACATTTAAAAATAATTTCACACGAATAGAAGTAATTGAGGATATGAGATAAGATTTTGTTATGCAAAACTTTATTTTCAAGAAAATCGATTCTGAGAAATTGGAAAATTAATGAGATTATTCTCAATAGGGCATTGACTTAAATAAAAAATAAGTTATCTCGACATAAAACGTGACATGAAAGAATAGAAAAAAAATTTCTCATCAAATTGAATTATTTATAATTTATTCCAATAATGTCTCTTTCGCGAAAATATGTCATAAAATATGATTTTATTTTTTTAAATCTTTTTCTGGAATAAATCTCTTGTACGAGAAAGAGATTCTTCCATATTTAAATTTTATAGTTTTTTAAATTGTTATTTTTCTCTTTTTTTATTATTAATTTAATTATTCTCTAAGAACTATTAAGTGTTCAACAAACTAAAACGATATATATGCAAAGAAAATAATTTAGAAAGTTATATACCATCCAAATTTGTAATGCTTTTTCATATTCAAAATTTGTTGAATTTTATTTATAATTTTTTATCATTATGTTATATTTAATTCATTTATATTTATTTATACATATTATAATTTTATCATTTAATTGTGCTTCTGCAAAGCGCTTTATGTTTTTCATTTTTCATATACAGTTTCCTTACTTAAAATATTTTTATCACAAACGAAATATGCTCGTTAATATATATTTTTCATGATTGATACACTGACACATGTTACCGGCAGTAACAACCGTAACTTTGAAAAATTGCCGATTAGCATTCATAAGAGCAGCTTGATTCAAAAGGCCGCCAACGGAATGCAAAAGCGAGTTGCACGATGCATTTTGAATTTTTGATTGCAGAGAATCGAGAGCATCCGCGGGAAACTTGTAATTTGCCTGATAGAGGAAGCGCGAGCTTTCAAAAGATGCTCTATCAAAATCGAAACATAGTAGCGATATTTTAATTCATTTAGTAATTTTAAAGAGATTTGGCGGATATGACTGTGCAAGTTTTTATATAATTATCCTTTTTTAAAATTAATCAAAGAGAATCTTTGCAAAAGCAATTGCATCCTGATAATATATTTTATCCAACTTTTTTTCGTTTCAAATTTAATAAGACATAAAACATAATTTTCAATCTTTTCTTGTAAATCTTAAAATTCCTGAAAAGTTCTTTATTTTTATCCTTTACATAAGAAACATTTCTTTAGTCAAAAAGAGAGTTTGTGATGAGGAAAAATTGATTTCAAATTGATTACATAAATTCTAAATTCTCAAGTAATAAATAAAATGTTAATTATTTGAAAAATAGGAATACGCAGATATGTTTATTTAAGTAATTTATGATATATATATATATATATTATATGAGAAGTACAAAATATATATTTGAATAATCTACGTATTTGAATATTTCATAGAATGACATCAATCTTTCAAAGTTTTGTAATATTGCTCATTTAAAGTGTTGGATAAGCCGTAACATGTGTCTCAAGTTTTCAGTTTAAGGAAACTTATATTTTGTAACAAGCAACATCGCAGTTTCTAATTCACCAACATTTCTCCTATGTATATACAATTTACGAGGCGAGGGCGACGAGAAGGTTCTCAAAACTTGTATGAAAAATTGCTGGACAAATTTTTAATTTTTGTGACGTGTGTTTTCCCTGCTCGTCGATCTTGCAAAACTTTTTTGACGATTTTCATTAATTATTCAAATCCATGGAATGGCTAAGCAATTATTTATCTTTTTGCTTGCAAAATTATCTGAAGATGTGTAATTTTTTAATAGTACTTATAATATAAGTATATAGCATACTTTATACATTTATATAGAATATTTTATGTAAAGTGTTGTGTGTTACAAATTATTTTCTCGGTGATTGTATTATAATCAAAATTTTCTTGTCATTTTAAAATTTATTCGAATTTTTGTAACACACATAGGATACCACTATCGGATTACGAAAGGAAGCAATTCTCCTCACTTTTTAAAATAAAATCGTACATTTTGAATAAATTGATACTACTCAACATTCTGCACACTTTAAATAATTGATTCCACTCAAAATTTTATATGTGCAGGTATTAAATTGAAATAACTGAAAATTAAATATTTTAAAAGATATTTTATTTATCTATGAATACTATTCACAGAGCTTTCCAAAAAAATCATAAATTTTTGAAACAAGTTTTATTTCATAAAAAAAACTTCAAAATTTCATTCCGAATATCATAAAATTATTTTTTTATTTTTATTGTTTCAATTTTTAATTGACAACTGTTTGACAGCAAAACATGTCTCTTTTGTACAATAAAATGTAATGTAATAAAATGCAATGCATCAATCTTTATATTATTCTTATTTTTGATACGACATAAAACTATAGATCTCTCATTTGAAAGAAACAATAAAAAAAGTCACTTATATAGCAACACAAGATTTTACATTAATTATCTCCATGTATCTTTTTGGTTTTTCGAATGAAAAAAATTATTCACCTGTTATAAACCGATGACTCTGATTTAATGATCGTTAACAGCAATAGCTGAGAACGACGAGGCGATTTTCCAAAATGTTCGGCAATTTTCCCGACTCGTCGCTTCGACAAATAACAACATTTGATATCGCGGCGCGCGATGATCGAGGAAGGGCGGAAAATGATTTTCCGCGCGAGAGCGTCGTTCCTATACGAGGCTACAGCCGCGTCGTACGGGGTGCTCGCATAAATCTTGGTAGACCGAATGATCCGCTGCGCCGCGGTGAATCTACCGACTGATAAATCTCGATGTGGAAATTGATTATCGGAAGGTAGAATTCTCTCTCCATGGCGAAATCCACCCTCTCGGCCTCGTATACACTTGTATTTATACCCTCGGGGCAATTTGGTCGTGCGATGCAGTTAATCCTTACCCTCTCTCTATCTTTCTCTCTCCACTACTACCTATACCTATCTACCCCTCTTCATTGTTCTTTTCACTCACCCTCCGATTTTCTATCGAAAATACATACATTCGATTCTCATCGAATATTTCTGTTTTCCAATTTCGAAAACGTCATAACTTTACCACGGGATAATTAAGATCGGCATTCGCATCTATTGTTGTTTGCTTATCTTTCTGTCGAGTACGGAATAATAGCTCTTGGATTGGAATATATATGATCACTTTCAAATTTTGATTTTTATGAGGCTGCCATACACGCTGCTATTATTTAAAATACTTTTTTGGTTTTCGAGAAAGTAAATTGTCTGAGAATGAATTGTCTAAGTGAAATGATACAAGAGTCCAAGTATTACGAAGTGATTATTCTTACAAGTAATTAGAGATTATCAACCGCGATTAATTAACTTTCACGATTGAGGCTTTGTA